GCTGGGGAAATGACTGATTATATCAAGGGACTGGGCTGGCTCTGATGAAGTCCTTCCTGGACCTACAAATAAAGACTGAATAGCTCAGTCTTTGTAGGAAGTGTTGTTAGACTGTACGTTTGTGTGAATGCATGTGTGTACACATTATGTCAGAGGACAACCTCAGGCATCATCCTCAGGAACTTCATCCACATCCTTTGAGGCAAGGCCTCTCATCAGCCTGTAGACCAGTGGCTGTTGAACCCCGGGGGTCCTTCTGTCTCTACCTTGTCAGTTCTGGGATTACAAGTGTGTGTCACTTTGAACTTGATACAGTCTTCCTGCCTCTGTCAGCTACTACAGTCAGTTAAACTGTTATTGTAGAGAGTGTTTGTCTTTTGCTGTGTGTGCTGGCACATTCTTGTAATGCTGAACGATTTCCCCAGTCTTTAAACTATTCTTTTAATTTTCTTTTGCATTTTATTACATTTTTATTGAGCAGGGCAAATGTCATAGTATGTGTGTGGATGTCAGAGGACAGTTTTGGGGAGTTGGTTTTCTCCTTTCATATGGGTTTGAACTCAGGTTTTTGGGTTTGGCGGCAGATGTCTTTACCCCCTGAGTCATCTGCTCTGCCAGGGTTTCACTCTGTAGCACAGGCTGCCCCTGAAATTTCTATGTAGCCATGGACGGCCTTGAACTTGCTGCAGTCTTGTTGTTTGCATCAGCTACCACACGCAGGCTACCATTTTGGAAGGCATCTTAAGCTCACAGTGCTGGTACATACTTATAATATAGCACTAACTAGGTAAAGTCAGGAAGACAACCATGAGTTCAAAGTTGTCCTCAACTACAAAGCAAGTTGAAAGTCAGTTTGAGCTGCATGAGGTACTGTGTCAAGAAAAATAAATTTGAGAGTGTCATTGAATCAGAGGTCAAGGTCACTCCTTGGGCATGGAGATTGCATTCCAGTTCAGTAAATCTAGGAAAACATAGGATCTGGGACAGAAAATGAGACTTTAAAAGTGGACTCTAACTTAAGAAGAGCTGTTGGACTAGAATGTCCTAAACATGGTCGGGGATTTTTGCTGGGGACAGGAACCTATCTTTAGGCACATACAACAGTCTGAGAACTTAGGGCACTTAGGTTTTAGTTCACAAAGGCTTGGAGGATAGCCATGTTATACCTTTCAAAATACTGTTAGAAGTTATAGTCCACTTTTTCTTTTGTTTTCTTCTAGGGTGGGGGCTAGCACCCAGGGTTTCACTTGTCCCAGGCAAGAACACTACTGATGAGCCACATCTCCAGCCCCAGAAATCAGAGCCTGGTCTTACCTGTGCTATAGGGAGACTCTTATGAGATGGACTGTGTTAATGACCTTCTGGTTAAGGAAAGGCCATACTGCTGGATGTGATGGCACATGCCCTTAATCCCAGCACTTGGGAGGCAGAGACAGAGGCAGAGGCAGGTGGATCTCTAAGTTCAAGGCTAACCTGGTCTATATAGTGAGTTCTAGGACAGCTAGGGCTTTGTAGAGAGACTGTCTCAAAAGCAAAAGGGCGAACAAACCACATCAACAAAAAGAAGGAAAGACAGAGAAGATGAAAAAGAAAAGGTAATCGTCATTCCTGTCAAAACCTAGGGCAATGTTGTACTGGTTGGAGAGAGAGACCAGCAGGGAATGGGTGTTGGGGGCATCTGAAGTAAAGGCATATCTGGGAGGTGGTACCTCCTCCTGGTGTCAACTTGATGCGATCTAGACTCACCTGACAAGAAGGTCTCAATGAGGAACTGACCTAGGTCTGCTTGGCTATGGGCACATCTGTGGCTCTGTAGAGATTGCTTGATTACATTGATAGAAGTGGGGAGGCCTGGACATCTATGAGAGGTACAAGGTAAATTCCTTGGCTTTGTGCCTTGAACTGTATAAAAAAGTGGAGAAGGTGAGCTGAATACCAGATTCATGCACTCATTCTCTCTCTGCTCGACTGTGGCTGTGAGTGGCTGCTTCCAAGTTCCTGATGCTTTGGCTTCCTCACCACAATGGATTGTAAGCAGGCATTAAAATTAAACCCTTTCCCCATTGCTTTTGCCAGGAAACAGGAAGTGAAACTGGGATACCTGGGGACCCCTTCACAATAGAGAAGGGAGTTAGCATACTGATATCTTGGAAGGTGGGGTTCACAACCATTGTGATTTGCAATTTTGTTTTAAATACAGCTTCCTTATACAGACATGAAAGCAGGACATTGTGGTTCTCAAAGGCACAAGAAGTCTTGTGCTTTTTTTGACACAGGGTCTTAGCATAGGTTGGCCTGGAATCCACTTTGTAGCTGAAGGGTGACTTTGAACTCTCTGATCCTTTTGCCTTTACCTCCTGCATGCTGGGATCATAGCTGGGATCATAGGGTATAATAACATACCCTATTCTATGTGGTTCTGGAATAGGAGCCAGAGTTTTGTGTAAGCCAAGCAACCCCTCTACCAACTGAACTATATCCTCAGCCCCACATGCAGACTTTTAGTGAACTAACTTTCATACTAGGCTCAATAAACTTGAGAGAAAAGTAAGCAATGTATTTGATTTTATCAGAACCCCATCTCTCCAGTTTTCCATAAACTCCTGCCTCTGATCTTTCTTTAGAGGTGCACACTCAATTCTTGCATCTTTTGTTTTCCACCCTCTGTTCTGTACCAGAGAGAAAAGGGTAGTTTGCAGATGCATCTTATGGGCAAACAAGGGTGAATCTGGGGAGTTTCCAGGCAGTCATGACTTTCTTAGACTAAGCAGAGGATGCTACATTGGCACAACAGCCACCACCTCACCCTTCTTGATTGTGTCTATGATCCTACTTTGAAGATAGCATTCAGTTCTTTACAACTTTTCTAGATTCATGATGCTTTTCTTTTTATCCTAACAGCTGCTTATTTGCATAACCTGCTAAAGACACATCCCATCATCACACTAATGGACTTCCTTTAGCTTCTTGGGCAATTTTCCTTCCTCTTTTAGATTTTATAACAAATAACAAGTTTTGCCTTCAACGAAAGTGCTTCCTGCTTGAAAATTTCCATTCTCTCCAGGTTGTAAAACAAGGCTAGAATTAATAGACTATCCTTTTAATACAGTAGTGATTATACTTGTCCACAAGCCCTTTCTGAAGGTCCTTATTTCATCATGGATCTTCCTTGGAGTTGTAGATATACTAGAATACTGTCAGTTTATCATTTACAGAATGCCGACATCTGTATTCCAGGCCCCAAGCTACTTTCCAGGTAATGAAGTAGACAGCATTTGGCTTTAGTCTTGTAACCATGTCAGCATTGCATTGAAAAGAGGAAACTCTTCTCATGGCTGTTAAATACAGCTAGGGAGCAGTCCACATTACTAAGGTGATGGGGGTGGGTGGCTGGTAATGGAATCTGAAGATGCTAATGAAGTGTGCTATAAAGGTCAAGGGCCAGCTAGGTGCCACATGGCCCCTAATCCAAACATGGAGAACTTGAAGGGGAATCTATTTTGGGGACATCTGAGCTACATAGTGAAACCTGTCTCAAAATCACAAAGATTGGGGATGTAGCTCAATATTAGAGCTACCCCCAAGCCGTTAACTGGTAAATGCAAGGTCCTGGATTTGATCCCCAAGTCCAGGCAAACAAGTAGACAAATTAAAATTAAAATAGATCATAATTTTTTCTAGTCTGCCATAGAGAGGTTTGTTGTGTTTCGAAGATATAATAAGAATGTACAGCTAATAGGAAATTATTAATAAGTCATTATTTTAAATGAATGTATTTCTCACAGCACTAACGTTTTGCTTTGACATTGTTTTAGAACTGGATCTTGTCACATGCTAGGCCAGGCTCTACCATTGAATTGCACCTCTGTTCCAACTTGATTCCTTTATAACATTTCCTTCCATTAAAATCTTTGAGGGTAGAGCCAGTGAGATGGTTCAGCGGGTAAAGGTGCTGTGCCCAGCAAGTCTGGCGATGCGAGTTTATCACTGGAAACAGAAGGAGAGAACTGGTACCACAAAGTAGTTCTCTGACCTCCACACTAGTGCGTGGTCCCTGAGAGTTCATATTCCACGCACGTGCACACGCTAATATTGATAATATAATCTTCAAGGCTGTATTATTATGTGTCTTAGTGAAGTCCTGGAAAGGAACTTTAAGTCTGTAGGTGTGGAGAACACAAAGGAAAGGAGGCTTTTCCCCCTTTCTTTTGTGTGCTGCACAGCTCCTGACCTATTGTGTTTTGTTGAGGAAGACTGAAGATGTAACAGTTCTTTCTAAAAGTGCAAGGAAAGGTCCATCACTTCCTGTTCCTTACCGAGCTCTAGAGCACACCTCAGGTTCCTTTTGTCTTATGAAAATAAAAGGAGGGTTAGAGCTCAGTGTTTTCTAGGCGCTAAACCCCGGGCGCTTACAAGCTTCTGCGGTCGCAGTGGTATAAGCAGCTTTTGTAAAACAGATGTTCATCAAAATAAGGGTGCACGAGAACAGAGGCCAACGGGGCAGACTTAGGGCAGCGCACAGGTGGGGGCAGCCGCCCGGTCTGGAATTGTGGGCGCCTGTTTTCTGCAGGTGCCGCCTCCTCGCCTTGGTTTCTAGTGGGCAGGAACCGCGCGTTGCAGAATGCGGGACTTGACTCCTGGAACAGCTCAAATGTTATTCCAGGTAGCAGACACCGATCTTGTCAAGTGTCTACACATGGCTCAGCGGAGGACAAACAGCATTGATACCAAACACCGCCCGCGATGGGAGTAAGCCAGGGCTTGGGACGCTAGAGGGCTGGTCCGACTGGGTTCGGTACTGCTGTTTTGCAATGATTGCTTCCTTAGCCCGCTCATCATCCCTATTCCCTATTGTGATTGGATGTTCCTCATGCCAATCGGTTCCGCCGCGCTGACCTCCATTGGCCCCCTACCTAGGCCCCGCCCCATGAGCTGGGCACAGGCAGTGGGGCGCCCGGGAGAGAACCCAGCTTGCTTGGGGCTGCGGGGGGAGGCGGTGGTGGCTCTGGAGAAGGGAGAGGAGTGGGGCGGGAGGAGGCAGCGACGGCGATCCGGCCAGGGTGATGGTACAGGTGCCAGGGCCCGGCGCGGAGCTGCCGCGCTGAAGGGCGACGGGTCCGGAGTCCGCAGCGCCGCCGCGTCGCTCCCGGGGACGGGCGAGCGGGCGGGAAGATGCTGAGCAGGTTGATGAGCGGCAGCAGCAGGAGTCTGGAGCGCGAGTACAGCTGCACCGTGCGGCTGCTGGACGACAGCGAGTACACCTGCACCATCCAGGTTAGCGCCGCGCCGCCCGCCTGCTGGCCGGTTCGCGGGATCCCGCTCCCCAGACTCGGCCAAGTTGGCGGGGGGCCGCCGCCCGGGGTCGCCCCAGCCCTAGCCCCGGCGCAGCGCTTTGTCCGCCCCGCAGCCGCACCGCCCAGTGCGCGGCATCCCTGCCCGAGCTCAGCCGGGGGCTGGTACCACGCGCTGCGCGCCCCTGCGGGGTGAGTCGCGTCCCGCAGCCGCAACTCCTCTGCTCTGCGCCTTCCCGGGCGGAGGACCCCAGGTTTTGGCTCCTCCAGCCGGCGGAAAGGCAAGCACCTTGGTCGGGCGTCTGGAGCTAGGCGTGCAGGGCGGGAGACGCCTGCCCGGATCGCCCCGTCGGGACGCGGGCTGAGGTTCTCCGGGCCCCGTCAGGCCCGCCAGCTAGCCTTTATCTCCCTGGTTGGAAGGATAAAGGTTTATGTCATAATTTCTCTCGAGCGTTTGTGAGTCAGACGGAACGCGCAGCCCATGCAGAGTGGCCTATTGAAGGCGCCCAGACCTCTGTGCTTTGAGGGTTTAGCTCCTTTTTCTCGCCTTTTGATCCCCAAATCTCAACGTGTTGGTTATTTCTGGGGGTGGGGGGCGTGAGGCAAAGATTTAGCAACAAGTCCCAGCAATTTGGAGGTTGTCAGTGGCTGGAAAGAATCGGAGACTTACGGAAAATCCAACAATGCAACAATGCCGCACAGCATTTCTTTCAGAACCTGGCGTTTTGAAAGGTTTTTTTTTTTTTTTTTTTTTTTTACAAACCCTGTCTTGTGTCCCTTCACTACTGCTGTGTGGCGCGTCAGGAGTCATATAGTGTTTTCGTCAGGGATGCAGTCTCTCTCTCCTTTATAAAGTCAGAGATGGAAAGCACCGGCAATGCTCTTGTGCCTAATTCTTCTACCAGAGGAACAACCCTGCGCTCACTGCCAGAAACTGTTCTTTGTGGAGAAGCAAATTGAGTTGGACCCAGGAGGGTCTCACCTGATCCCTTTCATTTCTCATGAGAACCTGGAGGAGACTTCTAGACTCAGATGTGACAAAAACTGCCTGTCTAGACCCTACCCCCAGGATGCCCCATCCATCCATCCATCCATCCATCCATCCATCCATCCATCCATCCATCCATCCATCCATCCTTTATCCATCTATCTTGCTGACAGTGCTCAATAGCATAAAACAGAGACATGAAGAAGACGCTTCACTGTCTAAGAGAGCTGCTTAATGCTGACTGTGCTCAGTTCAGCTTGCTCTCCCCCACCCCACCCCCCAGGACTTCCCCTCCTCACCCCTGAGCTCAAATGCTGACTACTGCCAAAGATCCAGGAGAATAGAGAGAGCACAGACTATCTTTTGAAGCTACTTAATACAGATTAAACGCCCATAAAGGTGCTAGCCATTAAGTGAAAGGGTTTTTGTAATTGACTATGATGGAGGGAGGGTATGCATTATTTCCCAACTCTATGGCATGCTACTTTTTGTTTCTATGGTGTCATTGTTTCTATGTACAGTTTTCTTCCTGTTTTATTTCAACGGAGGAGGAGAAAACATGGAATTGGCACCTTTGCAGTTTGAGTACATTGTCAAGAGCTTTGAAAGTCTTTATCCTTTTGTTTAAAAATTTAACAAATGTATACAATAGCCTGCCAAGGGCATTGTGAGGTTTAGACTTCATAAATCTTAAGAATACTTTTGTGGTATATAGTGACATAAATTTCTCCACTAGGTCATTAACTTTTGCCAGGGTGTAGAGTACAAAGGAAGCATCATTGCTCTAAACATGTTTATAACCTTCTGGTTTTAGGCATCAGGAAAGGCAACTTCTGGTTCTCCCTTGTCCTCAGAACCGTAGTTGTGGATGGTCCTTATTGTCATAGAGAAAACATATTTTAAAGTTAAATTGGACTTATTGGAGTAATGTTTACTATATTCTGTTTGTGTTTACTTTTTGTTGGTCTTATTTTATAATTTAATGTTGTAAAAATTAGTCCTGGCCCCCATATACAGTCTAGATGTGTTAACCATTGTACATGGTGATTTCTGGTGTTGACTCTAAAACAGAGGAATTATAGCATATTTGTCATTTTTACACCACTATTTAGATAATGTTTTGCTTTTGTTTTTATCCAAATGAGAAAAGGTTTAAAAAAAGCAATTACCTACAGGTTCCTAATTTTTTATTTATAGTTTTAAAACAAAGCATTTGGAGATTGAACTTTTCTTAGCAACTTTCCTGTTTTACAGTCCTAGTGTGTGTGTGTGTGTGTGTGTGTGTGTCCACATGTGCTTACTTGTTAAACATTTGGTACAGTTTTAATATGGAAAGGAGAGGTGGGTTCCTTACTTAGCTAAGCATTATTTCCAATACTTTAAGAATGGCAATATTATATATTTTAAATCTTTTGGTGATGATTTGAACTCCTTTTTTCTTGAGGTGTTATATTTTAATTTTGATACGGTATCTATTTTAGAACTATTTTTATGGCTTTTCAAATAGCTATAGACCATGTAGGGCAATACAGAACCAGAAATATAGCAGTGGGTTGGTGTCATGAAAGCCGTGTTTGATAAATTCCAATTGTAAGGCAGCTCAGTCAAGGTGTTGGTTTATCGGCATTTCATAATGCAGTTCTGGTGAGCTGGCCTTCGGGGTGTGATTATTAAGGTAACCAGAATATATTCTATCTTTGCAAAGAAGGTTCTCCCAGTCACATTCTTTTATCCTTTCTGATATGGAAATGCATCTGAGGACCAGGAGAAATGGAAGTATACATAGGAGAATTGTAGTGTAATTGCTCCCCTGTGAAGACTGTTGTTAACAGCCAGTTTTGAAGGTCATTGCCTCATACAGCCAGATCTGATCCATAGTTTTGACTCTTCTGGTTTTTTTTTTCTATGCAAATCTTTATTCATTTACTACATTTACTACCTGGCTTTTTATTTGGGAGAAAATAGAAAAAAAATGAAAAATGAAAAGACTAACTAGTATCTTTGAAGTCAACCTGGATTTAAATGTCTAGACATGTTTTGTCCTAAGGAATACACTTTTAATAGTTAATATATTATATTTCAGACATTTTAGTAGCAATATCTATTTGACAAATAAGTATTTTTGAAAGAGGTATGATGATATTTTGGGGGTGATAATTGAAAGATAAAACCACCTCAGAAATGAGTTAGGTTTTATTTGGGACACGTTAAAATCACAAATTAAGCAGCCAGGCTAAGCAGATTTTTCAGTTAGTGGTATAAATAGGCTGTGTGTGCAGAGGCATCTCTATAGAAGGGCCAATATTTGGATTTAATTGTGGCTCGACTACCTAGTCATTTTGAGACCTAGATTGAGTGAGGGAGGGAAGGAGCAAATGAGTGAAGCCCTGGCTTGCCAGGGATCTCTGCATACATTATACCTCATTTCCCTCACAATGGCATTATGGATTGATTATATATCCATTGTACTAAATGAGGAAAATGGGACGGTGGATTGGTGGGTGGGCCCTGTGCTGAATGGCTGATTACATGCTAGGCATTCTGTTAGACACTTTGTTTGTGCCTTACAGGAAGGAGGTGGGCATTATTGTTTCTGTTTTATAGATGAAAAGACAGGTCCCAGAGGTCAAAGGAATTTACTTACTGTTAGTAGGTGACCAACCTTACTGCATTTAAAACAGTGTCTTTCTAATTCTTAATCTTAGTTACTCTCTATTCTGACTTTCTAAATTGCTTCCTATTTTCCTACCTTAATTTTCTCATCTATATAGTGGAAATATTAATGCTTATTTCATAACAAAAAGAAAATTATTTGGGAATATTACAAATAAATGAGGATCATTTAAACACAAAGTAGAATTGGGAAATCCCTTTTTTTTATTTTTTAAGGGAAAATAAGTCAGATTAAATCATAAGTTGCCTTAAAATGATTTCTAGTTAGTTTCAATGAAGTTGTGAAATTGTACCCTGGAATAGTGTAGCTTCTTATTAGAGCCTTTCTTTAAAATTTAGGGACATGGGCTGATGAGATGGTTCAGCAGGTAAAGGCGCCTCCTGCCAAGGCTGATGACCTGAGTTTGATCCTAGGAGTCTCCAGAAGGGAGAAAGCCAACTCCTACACATTGTTTTTTGGTTAACTCTCCCCTCCCCCAATTAATAAAATAAAGTGCACGAGTTCCCATTTCTCTTCCTGTCTTACCCAGGCCTTTGGCTTTAGGAGGATAAGCACTCTTGGACTATGGATTGCCTTTTCTAAGAATTTCTGCTTCCTATTTTGTAAGTGGAACCCTTGGGTTCATTAATGCAGAAGAAATGTTGGTAGAAAATTAGGATAATTTTATTCACAGAGAAAAATACAAAGCTGTTGTATTTTCATGAATATTGATTTTTTTATAAAAAAATTACTTAACAGGTAATTATGCTGTCTCAGGATCTCTGTTACAATAGCAAGTCAGTTAGTCTTTAGCTCTTGAAATTAAGATAACTATAAAATTAGCCTCCTAGAATCCTAAAAGCACTTGTATTGCTTCTAAACTTCAGTATTAAATATTGTATAAAACTAATTAGATATTGTATAAAATATATCTTCTTGGCACAAAAGATAAATCCTGGATCCTTGACTGTCTCCTCATTCTTTCTGTTTATGGGGTGTTAGTGGCACCCGGGGATCCAGAAACATTCCCCACGACAGGTTGTACTTATGGGTATTTGTATGAATTTGCATTCTGTTAGACGCTTGGCATGAATGTGCTAGATGAGGCAATTCAGCCAACCATGTAATAAAAGAACATGAAATTTTGAGTTACCTTTATAGCCCAGAGACTCATTTATCATAGCTGTGCTGTCATCAGCATCACACTTTAAAAACAGACTTGTGTTTGTGTGTTTGAGGTAGAGTTTTCCTGTTGTATGGCTCTGGCTGTCCTGGAACTCACTATACAGACCAAACTGGCATTGACTTCCCAGAGATCCACCTGCCTCTACCTCCCAAGTGC